AGGACAAATGATTACATCTGCGAAGTGGAGCATACCTGAGAAATAGATATCTTGAAGTCGACGTCAAGTCGACATCACCAAACCACATTAGTAATTGCTGAACATCGATGTTACAACATTTTGTAAAGAAAATCCAGTGAATATATTGATATCAAGTTATAGAATAGTCCTATTTCATTTTCTTTCAAATAACAAATAACAATCCTTTCTTGGATCTGCGCTGCATGTAAGCAATCGTTTGTTAAAGGAGGAGTGCAGAAGGGTTCGGAGCAGGCAAGTGCGAGTAAGATTGCACACCTAGAAACAAAGGTCGAACACCTTGAGGTTGTCATCAAAGAGTCTCTCCAGGAGATACATGCATCAATGGTTAGGCATGCCGAAACAGCCAGTGCCCAGTCAAAACAAGTCGAGCAGGCAATCCAGGCAGTAGAACTCCAAGAGAACACATATGCGCAGGACGTAAAAGGTACTTGTAATGACATGGTCAAGCAGGTTGCAGCTCGGATAGATGCAATCCAGCTCCCAGCTACACCACTGACACAGAACACCAATAATGACATGCTCTCTCGACTTACCATCGCAGTACAGTCAATCCAGTCAATGATTGAGGATCATGCAAAGTTACTAGTTGAGTCCAAAAAGACTCTTGAAACTGTGGCACAGGAACAGGGTCAACAGAGGGCCACCTTTGCAGAGGTCGTAAAGAGACAAGAGGGAAGGACCCTGCAAATCTCTGGCGGGGCTGGGGGTCAAGATCAAGATCCAGTCCCACAGACTCATACTGACTACAGACAGATCATGAGGTTAGAACTCAAAGAGATGGAGGAGAGGAAAAAGAGGGTATCATCTTTGGTAGTACGAGGTTTGCGTGTTGGATCGGCTGGTGAGGCAGCCACAAAGTTTGGGGAGGTAATCTATGCTCTCACTGGGGAGCGCACAACCTGGACTGAGGTGTGCCGAATCAGGACCGACACAGATCTGTTCAGGGGAAATGTCCGCGACAATCGCATGAGGAGGCTGATCCTGGAAAAAGCAAAAACTCTGAAGGACTCTCAGTACTCACACATTTTCATTAAGCGTGATCTTACCTTCCTCCAGAGACAGGAGCTGAGGGCCAGATACCCTCCTCGTTCTCCACGTCCGGGGCCCATTGCTCCTCGGTACCAGGAGACAGTTCCTAAGCAGGTGATGTCTCGCTTGGGGACATCACCTGTTCCAGCCACGGCCGACCCCTCGCATGCAGCTTGTGCAGCGCCGGGCGCCGACCCGGGGAACCGTGTTGATGGGCAAAGGTTCCCCCTTCCAGAACGCGAGGGAAACTGATTTGGAAAGGTGAAGCTCCGCGGACATATACAGTACAAATGGCATGTTGCAATGTGAATGGCTTAAGCAGTAAGGTCGGACTACTGCCAGACTTTCTTATTGATCCATTTCAGACCGATCTTTTACTGATAACTGAAACCCATCTTACACCACTAGTATCGGATGCCACTATAGCTATCCCTGGTTATTTGCTTTTCCGTAATGACTCAGGAAGCACGCCTAAGCATGGAGTGTGCATGTATGTCCGAGAATCTTTCAAGGTTGACCAGGTAGATTCCTCCCAAGACAACTGTCTTTTGCTGAGACTAGCAGATTGTGATATCTATGTATATGTGGTGTACAGGCCCCCTTCTAACTCTCACGCTCAGAATCAGATTCTGGCAGACTTTATTCTCCACAGTTGTGCAGACAAGGAGGTTGTCATACTTGGGGATTTCAACCTGCCTTCCATCACATGGTCCCCAACACATTCTGAAACCACACATTCAGCAGTCGAGAGAATGTTTATTGACACATTTAACACAATAGGTCTCACACAATGGATATTTGAGAGCACCTTTCCAAGATCAGGCAACATACTCGATCTGTTGTTAACTTCTGAGGTGGATAGGTTAGGAGCCGTTCAAGTCCACGCGCCTCCACCAGGCTGTGATCATTGTAGCATCCACTGTGATTATGTCTTTGATGTAGACAGAGAGGCAGCCTTGAAGGGCCACTGCAGAGTGCTGTGGCATCGTGGCCACTATGGAGTGATCAATGCGGAGCTGGAGGGCATTGACTGGGGAACAGAATTCTCACAGCTTTCCTCGCACGAAGCATTCACAAAATTGCTGTCCATCATGAACCCACTCATAGACCGACACGTTCCAAGAAGGATGCACGACACTAGACCAATGAAACCCCCCTGGAAGTCAAACCCTCCATCGTCTTTGAAGCGCCTGCGTAGGGAAGCATGGCAAGCTTACAAGGATATCAGATCCATGCTTGGCAGAAAGTCGCCTGAGACGTGCTTGGCACTGAAAACATTTCTCGAGACCAACAATAACATACGATCCTACGCTCATAGGTCCCAGATAGAGTACGAAAGGTCACTGATAGCAAGATCCAAAGCAAATCCGAAACTTCTTCACTCTTACATGAGACATAAAAAGCAATTCCGCTCCTCCGTGGGTCCACTGCGCATGGACCCAAACACCATTTCTGATGATCCGGGGGAAATGGCAGACTGTCTTCTTCGTGCTTTTGCTGACATTCACACTGCTGCGGTGCCGGAGGAGCCGGCTCCTCATCAGCGTTGCGAGGCCGCACTTAGCGAGATCGAGTTCGGCCCCTCTGACGTACGCACACTGCTCACCGGTCTAGATCCAAACTCAGCCATGGGACTGGACGGGCTGCACCCAAGACTGTTGAGGTCTTGTGCCAATACCCTCACCAGTCCCTTGTATATTATCTTCCGTCGGTCCCTTCTAGAGGGGAAGCTTCCTCGAGCCTGGAAGTCATCACTGATTGTGCCTATCTTTAAGAAAGGTTCCCGTCACGACCCTCAGAACTACAGGCCGGTTGCACTGACGTCAGTTGCTTGTAAGAGTCTTGAGAGATTGATCTTCCGTGGACTTTATGATTACTTCTGCGAAAATGCGATTCTCTCTGAGGAACAGTTTGGTTTCCGTCCAGGTCGCTCCACGGAGGACCAGCTGATTCTCACTTATGATGAAATCACTAGCGCGCTTGACTGTGGCCATCCTGTCGACCTCATCATGTTCGATTTCTCGAAAGCATTCGACGTGGTTTGTCATGCCATCCTCCTCGAGAAGCTAAGACAGATCGGTGTGCAGGGAAGGCTTCTTGACTGGCTGTATGATTTCTTGGTGGGAAGAGAAATGCAAGTGCTGGTTAAAGACACGACAAGCAAGCCAACAGAGGTGCTGAGTGGTGTACCACAGGGCTCCGTTCTAGGACCGATTTTGTTCCTATTGTACATAAATAACATCGCTTCAACTTTGACGAGTAGCTACAAGATATTCGCGGATGATTTGAAAGTGTATATGAAGATGGACAGAGAAGCCCCTCTGACTACAGCGGAAGATCTCCAGAGGGACATCGACCTACTGTACGACACAGCCACATCGTGGGGGCTGGCGCTTAACCTACGAAAGTGCGCTGTGCTTCATTTTCGGCGCCGATATCACGCCCAGTCCATCATTTCATACACATTGAATGGCACCGAAATACCGCACGTTTCGGCCTACACTGATCTGGGCGTCGCCGTGGATGACAGTTTAAAATTCCACGAGCACTGTGCCCTTGCTGCGAGAAAGGCTGGGGGCGTTGTCCATAACTTTCTTAGATCTACTCGCTGCCGATCACCTGACTTCATGATGTTCATTTGGAAGACACACATACGGCCCATTATTGAGTACGCTTCATCTGTGTGGAACAGTGGATATGTTCAAGATCTCAAGAAGTTAGAGAAAATCCAGAGACTATGGACGCGTAACACTCTGGGCCTCAAAGATACGTGCTATGGTGACAGGCTCAAAACACTTGATCTTTTTTCTGTGCAGGGTCGCCTTCTTCGTGCTGATATTTTGAAGTGCTGGAAAATATTTCATGGACACTGTCACATCTCGCCGGAGGATTTGTGGAGTCTGGAAGTAAATGGAAGAACACGTGGTCACAGACACAAGATCAAGGTCATCCGCGCGCATGTTGACGCGAGGTCCAGATACTTCACACACAGAGTCGTCAAAGAATGGAATAGCCTCCCGGGGTGGCTAGTGCAAGAAACCTCCCTGCAGAAATTCAAAGGAGGACTCGCAGAGGTGTTGGGCGCGAAACTTTACGATTACTCAGTCTAATGTTGCTACGTTATATGACAGATTACGATCGGTATAATGTCAAACCATTGGATCCCCCCCCCCCCCCTCCATGGTATGCGCCCCGTTCTTAACAAGCAAGGACAGGGTCAGATGCGCCATGGAGCTCCAATCGGTCATTCACCACTTGCCTCCTGATTTCTGCATTCCCACCATGCCTGGCCTTCCTTCACATGTCATTCACCCATTTGGTTTGCGGGTGAGACAGCATTTGCATTACACTTCACAGCCGTTTCTCTCTCTTTCTTTCTTTCTTTGTGGAGCATTAGCACCAACTACGAGTCGAGTTTTGTCGACTTGTGTCGACTTGCACCAACTACGAGTCGAGTTTGTCGACTTGTTGTCGAGTTTCCACAACAATTCACACGCAGACGCACAACACCAGTTCCCTGACTCAAGGCCCACCCACTGGCCCCAGCTTGTGTCCAACTATATTCTTTGGAATTGGCGCGTCTCTGAACGACTTGGGTTTCCCTCCTTCTCACTCCTCTCCTAAGAGCAAGGCTGAGGAAACCCAACAGGTGAGTTAAACAGGTGAGTTAAACAGCTTTCAGTCAACATTGGTGTTATGAAAAAGAATTTGGCTGATAAGTGGAAGCATGGCTTTGAGGTTTATGATCAGATGGATATATAAAAATTCTACTTATCATAAAATGCAAAAATATTTGGTAAGCCGTCTCCAACTCGCAGCATTAACACTTTGATGTGGCGTACGGCACTTCACCTTTGAATCAATGATCTATCTCAGAACCTTGAACCTACCAGCGTTGCTAATGCCATCTCGCGAACGAAATCGAAAATAGCATCAGAAGCCGGGCGATACACTGGAAGGTGTGCTGGTGTTTGTGGGATTTTAGTGTTATTTTAAGTGCTGATCGTGATAACTATGGTCTAAGTGCATAACATATTCGCGGAAGGGCACGGAACTACCTGCCTTCAAATGGAGGACGACTTCGGACTGGTAGGTGCAAAGAAGGTGTGGGTTTCGGTCGACATTGACCATCAAAACGTGGAGGAGTCCATTCGCGTGCGGGGGGAGGTTTCTTTTGTTTACCACGTGACTGGTGCTCGGGTAATGCCGGGCAGCTAAGTGTAATTATTTAGTTAAACACAAGCCGAAACAATGTTCTCAGCACCCGCCCAAAATGAATGGATGCCTGCGCCAGTTTTCGCCACTGGAACATGTCAAATACACCCTTACCATTCGCCTCAAAAGCTGCCCCATATTGCCCCCACATCTGACATCATCCGCCCCTCGCCCTTACCCTGGGGTTGTTGCTAGGCAACTTCATATTTATTCACTAGTTTGAATGCTTTGATGCTTGTTTTTAATTATTCATTGTTGACAAATCACTAGCCTGCTGCCTGCTTCAGTCATAAGGCATTTACCTACCCCTTGCCATAGCAAATATCAGCAAGTGCTGCGCTGCGGGCGCATTTTGATGGTGATGGTGCCGGTGGCATCAATTGGATAATAGTGTGAATGGCTTGCCGGAGTACCCCATCATCCTAGCTACATGTCAGTTGTTGGCAGTATTAATATCATTTGTGATGTGACATTTGATACACTTTACAACCAAACTCCAAAGTGGAAGAAATTGATGGACATATCGCATAAGAAATACAATTCTAAATATAAGAAGTCAACTTCAAAGTGACCTACCAGTGTTCAGTGTCAAATCAATGTGCTGCATCTCAATCTCAATCTAACCAACATAACTGTGGAGGATCAACATGTTCCCATGGAGGCCAAAGTAAAGGTAAGGTTTTCATTAAAACAAAGATAATTTTTTAAGCCTTCTACTGTTCATATTGCATGGGGTGGGTATTTACCATCTATTGAATGGACACCATCAAGCCTTCAGCTCCCAGCCTTTGCCTCAAACTATAAAGATAGTTTTTCAGCCTTAATGAAATGTTTTTCTTCAACATTGATGCTAATTGCTGCAACCACACTGAGTATTATCACCTGTGAATTAGTAGGGCTCACCAAGCCTGACAGTTGGAAGGATGGGAACACGACAAGGGAACCCAGGGCCAAAGGTTGCACCAGTTAGAATTAGGGTGTGTGGGTAATGGGTATGAGGAGGCTATGTAGGCAACTAGGATGCAACCTATGACCATACATCTTGGCACTTATTTAATTCTGCTGATTGATAAGTGTCCTATTAGGTTGACCAACTTCCTTTCCAGCAAGAGTTTGCTGTGTTAAGTACTGCCTAAATTATGATGCATTTTTCTTTCAACTTATACAATCTCCACAGAATGTTCTTGGCACTTAGGTATCTTATGCAAGGTAATTACATTAAGCTCAGTAATGTCTGACAGTTCATTCATAGAGTGTTTTCCTAGTTCATTCATATGGTCTCATTCAAGAAGAGGACATTTTGTTGCAACAGCTTTTTTGATGTTTCCTGATTTATAGTCACAATGGTCAATGGCAGCATATTTTTGTTTGTTTTTGTTTAGGGAAACCTAAGGTTTGATTCTGCTTGATAGGGTTGTAGCACTATTATACAACTTTTGAAAAATGAAAACTGCTGGCCAGTCTTCATTCATTCCTGTTCTGAGCCAGTCTGCATAGCTGAATGGGATCTGACCTACTGGATGACAGTCATTCAGCAGCTGCTGCATTGGGTTAGCACCTAACACCACATTACTCATTCTGAGATTCTCCTAACTTACCTGGGATACTGTGTAGCTAGTCATAAGACCCCACCCATTCCTCTCCATGGCAGTGGAGAAGGTGCCAAGTGGTGGTAGCATTGCTAATTGACATGGTTTGACCCTGTTATTGAAAAACTGCATAGCCTCCCATTGTCAGTGCCATATGACAGCTGATTGTCCTTCCACAACCCTTCTCTGCCTCTGCATAGTTTGACTGTTGCATTGGTGAACCTCTGGTGCCTAGCGGCGTCGTGTTGTAAGGGCGACATTTCAGACGTTCAAAGCTGTATCTGCGCCCTAATGGATTGTGTGACAAGTTTCCTGGACACTCTCATCAGTCTTGGATACAAGTTAGATGTCCACTACCATTCCATGTCAGTAGGTGACTCTGGGGTGAAAAATGGCCTCTGGGCAGTATTTTGCCCCGCTACTAGGCTCATTCATTCCGGCACCAAACAGTGATCGCTTCTCGCAGTTGGTTGCACTGTGCTATTCCGGCCGTTCAGTACAACATGCCGTATCTTTGGACATCGGCTGACCGCTAGCTGGAGCCGGACGCGCTCCATTGCCCCGCTCTGAGCTGCTCCAACCCATCAGCCCTGCTCCACTACCTCAGTTCGCATCTCAGCCCCCGCCGCAGCACGACCCCATCCCCAGCTCCATCCCTCATCCCGGCTGGCCGGCCCGCAGCCGCGGCTCCCCCACCCCTCCCCTCCTCTCCCAGCCCAGTCGGAGCGCAGAGTCGCAGCTCCAGCACGCCGGCGCGGCGGTGTGTGCGCCGCCGAACGCTGCGGGCGCTCACGCGTCGCGAGACACGCGGCGGAGCGGCGGCCGGGCCGCGTCGGCGGCGCGAGGGGCGGGCCGCGGCGCCGAGCGCCGGGCGCTGTCGGGAGGCACCAGAGCGCCGGTGCCGCGGCTTTGGTCATGGCTCCACTCTGGCACATGTCCAAGCGCGCTCGGCGCGGACCGACGGCCAGCCGATCGGTGCATATTGAGGCGATGCGACCGGCCAGCGCCGGGCCCTGTGCCGCGCTCCACTGTCCAGCTGCGGCCTTCGTAGGCCGGGAGGCGGACGGAATTCGGATAAGGTTCGGGAATATCTGTGAGTTTGAGGCGGATGGGCGGGCTGCAGAAGGTAGTTAGGAGGATAGGAACGTTGGGAGACTTACGAGAGATGAGGTGACGCAATGAGATACATTCGTTCATTGCATCTCGGATGTGGGAAGGGAGCTCACAATGCCGAGCCCAGGGCCTATTTCAAAGGGACAGCAAATTGAATCTGCATGCCTGTATCATCTGACAACCAAGGACGAATGCAGCAGCTACCGAAGTCGTCTGCCGGAATATCGGCGTTCCGTGACGGTGATGTAAACATCCGTGCCTGCCCCGTCCCGTGCACATCATTCCGTCACCCGGTTTCGCCGTAACTGCGGTCTCGTGGAGTGGAAGCGCGGCGTGGAGCGCCGGCGCTGCCACATAATCCTAAGGCAGCTGACGTGTCGCCGCCGCCTGTAGGCTGAAAACAGGATTGGAGTTTGGCGGCGGCGGCGTCTATCTATTGCCAGTCGCCGGCGCCTGTTTTCACCGGGCGGACCCTGCATAAGACAATCGGCGCCGACTGGAACCCCGCTGGACCGGTTGTCGGCTTCAGACGGGCTGTGCGGGGATCATTTAGCATTTCTGCATCCTACAGGTGCATCCTACAGGGAAAGGAAGGGGTTAACAGCTTGAAATTGTAGCTGAAATGGAGGCTATTGTACTTGGCTTGGCGCCATGCCATGTATTGTTAAAGTTGAGGAGCTTAAAGTGCGAGGTTTGCATGCGGATACAAGGCTCGTTTGTAGTCTGTGATTCAAACGCATTCCTGGCGAATACCTTCCTACATAATGAATGTGTTTGCTCAGCTTTTGGTCACTGTATCGCAACTGGGAACATCGAGCCGTACGTAGCCTGAAACGTTGCACGCTGGCCACACAGCCGGCCTTCACGATTCCTTTCAATCCGCTTCTCCTGTGAACCTTTCCCAGATCAGGGGCGGATCCAGGAATTTTCGGGAGGGGGGGCGGCAAGTCGAAATAGGGGCGACCTGGCAATCCGGGGGCGCTCCATACAAAGGGGGCGCCAAACCGTCAAAATCGGGAGCTAAAAGCCCGCGCCGTGCTAGGGGGCGTTATCGCGCTCCCCCTCAGGTTTTTCGCAAATATGTGAAAAACGGCTGCGCGCAGCGCCGCCATTTTCAGCATACCTTATCATGCATCTTTTTTGCACATGTTGTAAAAATGTCTGACGCGGGTGATGGAAGGTCAGGTCACCAGGTTATGCCAAGTGACCTAGCCTAAGAAAAAGTTCAAATGCTTACCATTGCTATACCGGCTGAACGATTGCTTTGAACCTTTCAACGATTGATGAAAGCAACACTATTCATGAAATGTATATCTCGGAATTTCGATATCTGTGACCTAAGGTCAGGTCAGTTGTGCGACGTCTCCATTAGGTAGGTAGGTATAATTAAGTCTTTGGGAGAAAACTGAAAGGCATCTCTTTTGGACGAGCGCCATTCTAGACAAATCAAGCATTGGGATACATATAAAATTAACACACTGAATAAGAACATTGCACCTAGTGTGACCATTCATTATGTCCCAGAGGTCATCCCATGTCATGAAAGGTCCGCAGCAGTTTTTTTTTAAATAACTTGATAGATTCAAGCTAGAGCGATAAAAACACCTCAGCTGTGTTCAGCTCGACGATACGCATCGACTGCTATGCAGCATGACCTTTCCCGGTCAGGTCATGACCTTGACCTGAGGTCAAATTCTCAAAATTACCTTTCATAAGGTCAACCTTTAGTTTGTTCGACGTGTCTCGACGACAGAAACGCAATGCTGGCAAACGTAATGTCGAGACTCTCTTGAGTCAAAAGTTATTGCAGGAAAACATTGTCCGTAAAAAGGCTATTTTTAGAGTCTTTTGCCCTCTGAAGGCTAAATCGTTGACCTGAGGTCAAATCTGAGCGCAGCTTGCAGAAACACCTTTAAAAAGGGCTATCGAATGCGCTTTTCTGCGGCGCTATAGCTCTATTGGTTTCCGAGTTATGTGCCGCTGCTTCGAAAACGGAAAAATGTTGAAACAGGCAACATTTTACCTTTGATGACCTCTGCTGACCTGACATTCGACCTGACCTAAAAAATGACCGTTTTGTTTTCGTCCTGTTTTTTGACGATCTTTCGAATGCCGCTTATCGCGTGTCACTACGCGGCCCAGGAGCCGAGTTAGACGAGGGAGTGTGCCCCC